TCGATCTCTGCAAGTAAGTCCCGGCTTCACAGCATATTCCTAAATGGCTCCGGAAACAAATGGAATCTGCGGAACCCATTAATGGTGAGAACAGGAGACCTAGCTCTTCTATTGCGAAACATATTATACAAACAGGACATAAAATTGACTTTAAGACATCTTTTAAACCTAACTATAAGACGTGTTTGGAGGAGGGCGTATCCTAAAGTTTATGGAAGCCGTAGCTGGTAATTGAGAAGTTTAAACCACCTTTATGCATTCCTCGGTAAACTTTGTTTTGATACCATACCAGCCAGGGTAGATTTACTATTACCTCTGTTATTTGGTTTTTAGTGATTGATCTTCATTGTTATTTTAACCTTCAATATATCCTTTCAACTTGACCTAAATAGTTTATTTTTCTTACCTCTTACCTTTTGATTAATTTCATATATATATATATATATTTCTCTGACAAGTCCGTGTGTGATGGATCAGGTTGTTCGAAATGTGTTGCTCAAATACACAATACACGATTCAGACAGATAAATTACGTCTTCTTATTGCTTTGTCTATCTATATATGCTATCATTATTATTACTATTACATTGAGCAGGAAACCTAAATGCGTAAATGTAGTTATTTTATAAAAAGTCTAACTGAATATTCATTTTATTGGTACACAAAATTTACAATCAATACAAGAGATGTTTCACATGGAATTTGGACTATTTTTTTTCTCTCTTCATTCTCTTACTAAAATCTGGTAACTCCTACCTAGTATGAATTGAATTCATCTTCTCAAGTGTCTTGGTTTTTTTTGAAGCGTTTATCTTTTTGTTTTTTCCCCCATTGATTTCATCTTTGGTCATGGTCCCCCGGTTATCAACCAAGGGACGTGTGTACTGCTCAGCAGTTCGCTCCGTCCTTCTCTATGGCTCTGAAACATGTCCAATACGAGTTGAAGACATGAAAAGGTTGACTGTTGTTTTCGATCATAGTTGTCTGCGATCTCTGTCTCACGTTAGGTGGTTTCACAAGGTAAGTAATGTTGACGTTAGGCGTAGAGTGTTGGGCAGGCAAAGCGGGAAAATCAATCGACGAGGCTATACAGTTACATAGATTTAGATGGATAGGTCACGTGCTGCGTGCGCATGCCTAACCATCGCCTTCCCCGACGGGCATTGCTAGCTGATATAGGTTCAGGCTGGAAAAGAGCCAGTGATGGCCAAACAAAAACATGGCTTCATCAATCCATGAAATCCTTGACAGTTAAACTGAGTCAGGTAGGTAGGGAGATGCAGACTTCCGGGTTGGGGCCCTCGGGACTCTAGGAATCAATGGCTGGAGACAATAGGTGACATGGCTCAAAATCGTTGTCAATGGCTAGCGCATATGTATTCAGTCTCTGTAATCTTTCATATTCCTTTCTACCATTACCCATTCTGTTTCACTCTTATACTTGTCAAACTCTATTGATTCACTTCACTCATCTTCTTGTCTACCTTTGTGTGCTATTTGGAACGTGGCAACTCGAACTGGTGCACTTCGGTGCCAAGTTCTATGTTGAATCCAGACAGACAGACAGGCATGAATTATTCAGTTGACCTGATTTCAGTTAAAAACAACATGTACTGAGGAGTATTGAATACAAGTGTTTCGTCCCTCAAGTTTGGGTCTCCTCATCAGTATTCTGAGTTCAGATAGATATTGATCACAATAGCTGGAGGTCGCTCTATGTCGCGGGATTGAAGGCCTCTTTTAGTGGCTCAATATTGAACTCTCCTTGTAACCCGAAGTTCCTCAGTTGGATGGCGAGTACTGATGAAGAGTTCATTACTCGGAGGAAGAAACATCTGTCCAGTACTTTCTTCTGGTTTTCAATAGTTCTCTAGTCAATTAACGAGGTGGTGAAGCTACATCGAATGAGATGGCTAGTTAGTATATATGGATTACGCATGCCCCTAGTCATCGCCTTCCTCGACGAGCAGAATTAACAGATGGTGATCACACCAAAAATTTGTCATCAGTTCGTGAAATCTTTGACAGTTAGTTTTAGCCAGCCACATAGGGGGAGATGTGTTGGCTTCCTGGTTGGTGCCCTTGGAATTCTAAGAACCAATGACTGGAGAAACTATTAGTGATGATATGGCTTGAAAATTGTTCCCTAACTGAAGTCAATTCTTTCATGATGGAGATTGAATTTAATAGGGTGCAGCAGATCGGGTGTGGGGACAAATACTCGCCAGAAATGACGTTGGCTAGCGATCGCATTGTGTTATAAATTGGCAGAAGTTGGAATTCATGGACTGGCTATTGGATCGCGTCCCATTGGCTTATGGTCTACAAACTAGCTCGTCTTGTGACCAGAAGGTCCTGGGTTCGAGCCCGACGTATGCCTACTGATGAAGGTTCCCAAACTAGGAGGACAAAACGGCTGTCCAGTACTCCTAGATAATTTTCCAATGGTTCCCTAACTGTTCTCAGCTGATGATGATTCATTGGTGGCACAGTGGTTAGGACTCTCGCCGACCATGCACATGGTCTGAGGTTCGATCCCCTGCCGACGAACACCTGATATCTATGGTCGGCCTGCGAAATTTGGGCTACGGATATCCATGCTGAAAATTCCATACTTGTACCAAAAATACAGTGTGGAATCAAGCTGTAATCAATAAAAAATCCTGTAACCAATCATGTTAATATATGTGTAAAACTTGGGCACTGTGTAGTAAGTAATTCCATATTAGTTTGTTTATTAGATGTATTACACTGTGAAACAGTATTGTATACTGTGGATGACGTTTCGAACACAATTTATTGTTCATAATCATATCAACTGTCACCCCAGTAATAGTTAATATAATAATACGAACCGGTTGAAAACTTGCAATAGCCTGCAAACCTCACTAGACAGCTAACATCTGTTGTGTTTTAGGATTCTGTCTTGCTGTGTATTCTAGCGGAAACTCGCCTCTCTAAGCTGAGGATGTGTGTGTGTGTGTGTGTCAACTGTGTATAATTGCTTGCATCTGTAGATCTCATTGTGTTTAGACGCGATGATTAATATGGTCTTTCGGTAAATGTGGCGTCATCTTAGTACACCTACCGGACATGTACTGGTAATGTCATCCCAGAGGCTCGTATACCGTTCACTATTTGTTAGTCCTGGGACTAGATAGGAAAAGTTAGGAAGTTATTTAGCCTACAACTTGTTACCGTGGGATAATGGGTAGTTGTGTTAGATTGGCATCTGTCGGGGCATCACAACCTCCCTCCGTAATGGAGTCCAGGAGGTAATATGAATCAGTATTTCAAGAAGGGCAAAGTTAAACTTTCAGGACCACTTACAACCAATCGGCAAACGACCTTGAATGGGCCAATCACATTAAAGAGGCATTTATGATAAATAGAAACGTATATATATGGAAAAAACTGCATAAAAATGTTACATAGGGTATCTTTCTCTAACATGTGAGAGAAACATCTCACTGTTAAGCATCGGACTGTCAACAGAAAAGTTGCACCACATTCTGTTCATATATTCATCCGAATGACTATAAATGAGATCGTTTTGAGACCCATTTATAGCCCTTATCCCATTTTTCAACCTGCCTCAAAATCCTACAATAGAATTTGTATGTGTCCTCGTAACCGGATCGACAAAATCACTTGAATGATTGACTCTATGATGAATACATCCCAGAGATGACAGAGAATTGTAACCTTTCCATTCGTCCGTATGAATTATAGACCCTTGTTTTACAAATCTCGTAATAATAGGTATTAAAGTAGTTACTTTTCTGTCTGCTATTCTTTCGACGAATCCCTTTCGGAGGGAGTTGTCATACAAACCAATTACCCAAATATTGTTCACTCTCTGCCAACCACGATTGTATTACTTCTTCACCAACACAGCTTCATCGACGTGCACAACAATGTCTTCTCCACCCAACAAAGAAGTGATTTTCTCCATTTTCCACGAAGCAATATTTCTACAATGCTGATACCACTGAACTGTTGAGACAAGACTATTCTCCATCCCAGCAGCTGCGGCTCTCACTGGCTGTTTCAAAATCCAGTAGTTACAAATACACAAAATTTGCGTTAAGCAGAGATGTGATCTTGCAAAAAATTTCCTACGAAATATTAAAATTATCAGCTCACCTTCTCTAATGCTAACTTGCCTCAAACATATTGCACAACGATGAACATGTCCATTAGTTGACCTGCTAAAGCTTTTTAAAGTCATCCCACCATCACACGAACAAATTCTCTCCTTCCGAAGCAACCCTAAATCCAGGCAATACTGGAAAACACCGTAACCTTATCAGGGCACGCATTTGAAACGAATCAAGTGCTATACAATATTGAACTAACGTTCATGAATCTCATTGGATAATTCGACGTCGTTAGCTGATTGGTAGTTAATGGTGCTTAAAGTTTAACTTGGCCTCAAGAAGTTATCATGAATCTGTTCAGTGACTAGATTGTATTCGTGATATTAACAGTTCTTGTAGTAATCAGAAATTCTGCATAAATATTTATATATCACTGACAGAATACTTTATCTCTTTATGAGGTTTAACTCTGATGAATTTGCCCAGCCTGATAGTATGAAACATTCACGAGAAAATGTCAAAGCTCCAAAGAACCCCCTAGCAATTCTTTTCCTCTATCTAAGCTGAGCCCGTCAAACTCGATCCCTGGACTATGTGAGCCATACACTTCTTGTGTGAGGGTTAAATAATACCACCCCTAGTTGTCCAGCCTCTGTGCTTGTAGGGCAGGATTAGAACGCAGGATTTGCTGGATGCAAGTTAACAGCTTATGCCAATACACCACATCTCCACTATTTCAGATACACACACACACCTACCTACCTCCGATAGCGGGTGCACAAATAAGCGTATTCCGTGTAGTCACATGCAGTTTAATGTTGTTGTTGTGTTTTTCGCTTTCTCCCATCTCCCCTTCCTCAATTTTCAATCTTTTCTTGTTTGTTATTGTTATTATTTTAGCAACTCACAGGATCTCTGTATTTCTACGACCTTATGCAAAGTATTTAGATGAAAAAGCAGCATCTTATCGTGAAGTTGCCTTTGATTTTTGTCGTTTAAAACGTGGGTAAGTCATCTCATTCAATTCTAATATGTGTGTATTTTTGTAATCCCTATGTTATTGTTATTCCCTTGGGTTCCGAAAGGAACCCAATGGGATTCTTCCTCCTCCTCTTCCTCTCTGTCACACTCGAAACGGCACCCAATTTATCTTTTCTTATTCGAGTTCCACTCAGGGGTCTGTTCGATGCATAATGCCCCTGAATGGTCCCATTGTAACAACAGAAGACAAGGGCCAGGCAACATATCGTTTATTAAAGAAATCAACAGACATTTATCGATTTTCAAGTGCATTATTATAGATCATTGCTAGCAGAAAAACACAGTCTTCTGATTGGTGGTTTCTCGCTGAACGTTAATCTTTCATCTCTTTGTGGCCGTTTATTGAAGTTCAGATTATCTATATGCTAACTGTATCCGCCTACGCAAAGTCTGCTGTAGTTGGTTGTTGAATCAGTCTTCGTTCTCATTTTTCCCACGACCAATATTGGGGACATAAACATTGGCGTAAATTGCTGTCTACCAATTTTGGCTAGCAGCCAGCTCTTACTACACTCGTCCCCCTGTCAAAGCCTTGCGACTGAAGTTGGTTCGGTCTTCTTTGTTCTAGGGGCTTTGTTTATTTGTCTTGCTGTCTGTAATCTCGGCGCTTGCTTATGTTCACCTGTTTCTCTTTGTTTACCATTGCCATTGTGTCTGCGTAACACCATCTCAACGTGACCATATGTGGTCCTTCCCACTTTAGAAACTGTTTGTCTGACCCTGTTGCATATTCGTCGGTATTTCGCCTAACAATTTCATATGTTACTTTCTTCCGGCAGCGTCCCAAGTAACAGCCTCATCGCTGACCTATCTTGAACGACACTCAGCTGCGCAGAAGCCTCGAAGTCCTGCTCGAAGTTCCTTATGTCTCCATCAAATTTGCAAAGCATAGGGTTTCCATTTGTCGGTAGGCAGTGACACTAAATGTAACAACAAAAGACAGGGGCCAGACAGCAGATCGTTTATTAAGGAAATCAACACATATTTATAGATTTTCATGTACATTATTACAGATTATTTAAGAAAACAAACACAGTCCTCTGATTGGTGGTTTCTCACTGAACGTTAACCTTGCGTCTGTTTGTGGCTGTTTTTTGAATGTCAGATCATCTATATGTTAATTGTATCCGCCTATGCAGTCTGTTCTCATTTTTATCACGGCCAATATTGGGGACATAAACATTGAAGTAAATTACTGTCCACCAATTTTGACTAACACCCAGCTCTCAACACACCGTAAGCTTCAGCCCGATTCCTTTCCATTTCCTTCTGCGCATGTCTGTCAGGCGATACATTTTTTGTTGGTTCATCTTCAGAGTTCCTTATTCTTTATTCTTTCTGACCCCTTATGTGATCTTCAGTATGGAGCCAGGGAAGTGAGCTGTTGATAAAAGTCTGTAGCCTAACGGAAATGCTTTTTTTGATACTCTCCCCAAGTCTCTGAACCATCAGCCGGCTCCAACGGGTTGATCTCTGACGAAATCTCAGCTGAGTACGGATACAGAGGGTTAGTTTCGTATATGCCAGTTTGCGCCGTCTCCCGTGTTAAGTGGAGGTATAATAAGGTGATCAATATTGAGTTTAGGCGTCGGTCAAGTGCTAGGTAGGTGGGAGGGAAAATCAATCGACGAGGCTGTGAAATTACATCGACTGAGATGGTTAGGACATGTGTTACACATGCTTAGCCTAGTCTTCGCCTTCCTCGACTGACGGGCAATGTTAGCAGATATAGAGTCATGCTGGAGAAGAGCTAGCCAGTGGTGGTCAAACCAAAAAATGGCATCAGTCAATGAAATCTACAACAGTGAGTCTAAGCCACCTATGAAGGTGTAGACTTCCTAACTGATTGGGGTCCTCGGGACGGTGAAAACAAATGAAGGCTGGAAACAATTGGTGATATGGCTTGAAATCGTTCTCAATGTCCGTTGCAAATGCATCCACTCCTTATGACTTATGATTTCCAGTGAAACCATATTGTTCTTCGTTATTACTACTCCTTTGTCTCACGCCTCTGTTTACTGTCCCCATTAAGCATTTCTTCTACTTTCTTCTGTTGGTTTGTGTGGTACATGGAGGGAGTGTGGCGACTTGAACTGCCGCACATATGTGCAAAGTTCTTTGTCGAGAACTGACAGACAGAGTGTGTCATCATGATGTATCCAATGTAACTAATTCAAGGAGCATGAAATAGACGTCAGTTTATGGTAAACGACTGCAACAAGGCAATCATCCTGTGCTAAGTGATAAATCGTATACCGAGTAATATTTCTAGTCAGGTAGGTGTCGTGTTGGTAGAGCGCATTGATCACTCCACTTATTTGGGAAGTCGCATCAGTCAGCCCCCAAGCGGGTTGATCGCTGACGAAATCTCACCACGGATATACAGAAGGCCCGTTTCGCATATACCAGTTCACACCGTCTCTGGTGTAGACGTGATATCCAACTGGCTGGCTGTCGACCAAAGGCTGTCATGTGTGTACTCCTCAGCAGTCAATTCGCTTTGTCCTCCTTTATGGCTGTATGAGTTCAAGTAGAATGAGTGCCTTGATCAGTGCAATGTATTTTCTCGTCATTCCCTTTACAGTCAAGCATCTCCAGAGAACTTCTCGATCGACAGAATCGAATAGCGCCTTTAGGTCAAGAAATATAATGATTGTTGAACGCCGACAGTGAGTATGCCTATGTTCTAGAATCTGTCGAAGGGTGAAGATATGATCAATACACCGTCCCCCTGGTCTAAAGCCTGCCTAGTTCTCTCGTGTTTATGCTTCTCGATCACCACTTAGTCTACGCATGATTATTGAGTCTAAGACTTTAGATACTATATGAGTCAAGCTAATCCCTCTGTGATTATCACAGGAAGACTTGTCTCCCTTCTTGCATGTGGGGATAATCAGCGACTTACACCAACCCAACGGGACTTCCTCTTATTCCCAGACGCTGTCTAATACCTCAGTTAATGCAGACAGTAAATTGTCTCCACCGTACTTTAATACCTCTGGAGTCATTCCATCAGGTCCCATTGCTTTGCCTTGTTTCGGTTTGGCGACAGCTTTAGTAACCTCAGTTAGGGATGGAGGACCTGTGTCTATATCCCATTCAGGGAGGTGTTGGATGTTCGGCAGGTTAAGCGTGGCTGTAGCTTACCTCACCCCGTGATCAAATCGGAAAAGAGGAGAGATAGAGAGTGGCTTTATTAAGTTGGTTATTAGTAAAAAAAATTTATTCTTAATTATTTAGGTCATTCAGTTTCATAGAGTAGATAAATATAGTAAGGCAATATGGCATCGTATACTACAAAGTGACGGTCTTATTGTGTCTATTGAACTATCTAATAAGTTGATTAGTGTTCATATTTAAAAACTCTCCATCTGTCTTGTGTGTGTGTGTGTGTGTGTGTGTGTGTGGCTGATGGAATGGAATTACACTTTCTGATAGGGTTTGTTTGTATTTTGTTTTCTATGCGTCTACCACACAAAGCCATCATTCACCTTCATAATAATAATAATGTCAAGGTCATAGTGTCTATTTGACCAGACCAAGCTGTTTTTATTCTACAATAAAAAAAAGTCAATCACACTCAATCAGGATAAAAGTGATGGGGAAAAATTGCGGTTAGCTATGAAGAGAGGATACAATTGGTGGATGGTGGCTAGCAGTGGAATCCAGGATGCGCATTTCGTCCTATCTGGGACTCGTCAGCTGGATGTACCTGCATTTCTCAGTGAGTGATGATGATGTTCTCACCGAGGCTCGAACCTAGTGCCCATAGTTTCAAACGCCAAAGCGTTATCCACTTGACGACTTGGGCCACGAGAGCCACCTCTTGTGCAACGGGTCGTATTAATTATTGAATTGAATTTTTGATTTTCCCGTCGATTGATTGGACCAGAGTGCTCGGTCTCAGGTTGACGTGTCGGCTTCGGTGAGAACATCATCATCACTCACTGAGAAATGCAGGTACATCCAGATGACGAGTCCCAAATAGGACGAAATGCGCATCTTGGATTCCACTGCTAGCCACCATCCACCAATTGTATACTAATTAAATGCCCAGACATCGTCGAATCATCTGCACAAGAAGCCGATATGTCAACCTGAGACAGAGCACTTCGGTCCAATCAATCGACGGGATAATCAAAAATTCAATTCAATAAGAAGAGAGGAGGCTAAAAACAATAGTAAGGTAGAATTGTATATCGATCAATGATACACGCTAATCTTCAACAGTTGATTACCCCCTTATACATTGGACCACCCATATGAAGACTCTTGAAGACCTGGATTTCGAGCGTGGAGGATTCAGGTTTGTTGGTACACAAACTCGAGGACTTACAGGCAGGCGAAAACTGGCAAAAAACCGGTAAAAGAGGCAGGCAGTGAAGACAGGACTGCAGGTGAACATAGAGAAGACGGAGGGAATAAAGGTAACCAACTAATCAACGAACAGCAAAAACGTCAGCACCCACCACCAACAGGAGAGATATGACAGAGGTAGCATCATTTTGCATTTGACAGCAGGAGCGAATCGCATGCCAAACATTCGAGGATTGCTGCTGCTCAAGGTGTCCTGGAGACTCTGCTGGATTTTGACAGCATCTTCACCTAGAAGGCCTATATCATCCGCATATTCTAAGTCAACGAGACTATTATACCCTGATGGTAACAAGTCAATCCCTGAATCTTTGAAGTGAGTTAGGGTTAAATCCATTAATACATACTAGTTGTCAGCATCAACAGCTGACTTTGTTGGCCTCATGCTGAAGATAAGATGATCAGCCATAAAGAATTAGCAACAAGAAATTCTGGTAACGAACCAACAGGTGATAACTTATTGCTCGACAAATATGTAAAAGAAAATGGAGATGAATCGAACACACGCTGAAGAATTCGTCGGATGACATCACACATATCAGACAGATACTCTAGTGGAACCCGAATGGGAAACAATAATTTGGGCGTCCG